CTGTACTAAAAATACAAAAATTAGCTGGGCGTGGTAAGGTGCATCTGTAATCCCAACTACTTGGGAGGCTGAGGGCAGGAGAATCACTTGAACCCAGGAGGCAGAGGTTGCAGTGAGCTGAGATCGCACCACTGCACTCTAGCCTGGGCAACAGAGTGAGACTCTGTCTCAAAAAAAAAATTTTTTTTCTAAAGTAAATCGATATTATCTTTTTTATCCTTTTGGTTTGTACTGTATTGACTATTCTTAGGGAGAGTGACATACTCATTTTAATTTGAATATAATTTACATTTCATGGAAAATTATTATACCAATTGATTGAGAACAAAAGTTGATCTGATTCTAGAAAATTATCACCATATTTGTTTAATCCATGAGAATAATAATGGTTATAAAAATAAAACCCCATGACAGGTAAATGCAATCTGATCTTGGATCAGAACAACAGCAACAACAAATTTCTATGAAGGACATTATTGGGACAGATTGAGAAATATGAATATGGTGTGTATATTAGTTAATAGTATTGATCAATGTTAAATTCTCTGATAATTATAATGTGGTTATGTAAGAAATTATCCTTACCCTTGAGAGAGATACACTAAAATGATTAGCAGTAAAGAGCAAATGTGGGCTGGGTGCAGTGGCTCATGCCTATAATCACAACACTTTGGGAGGCTGAGGTGGGTGGATCTCCTGAGGTCAGGAGTTTGAGACCACCCTGACCAATATGGTGAAACCCTGTATCCATTAAAAAATACAAAAATTAGCCGGGTGTGGTGGCGTGCTGCTGTAGTCCCAGCTACTCGGGAGGCTGAGACAGGAGAATTGCTTGAACCCAGGAGGCAGAGGTTGCAGTGAGCCAAGATCTTGCCACTGCACTCCAGCCTGGGCGACAGAGCGAAACTCCATCTCAAAAAAAAAAAAAAAAAGCAAATGTGGGAAGATATTAACTGGTGAATGTAGGTGAAGGATATACAGGAGTTCACTCTTAGAACTTTTTTATCAGTTTCGAATTGTTTTTAAGTATGCATCTTTTAAATGTTACATTTTCCTATGGAGTCAAATAATATTATCACACTTAACAAAATTGTTAATAATTTATTAATGTTATCTAATACCAAGTCTATATGTAGATTTTCCTAGTTGTCCCAAAAGCCCTTTTTGTTTAGTTTGCCTATTTTGTAACCATGCATCATATCTGGTGGTTATGCCCTTTCAGTCTCTTAATTTTGGACAGTATCTTTTTTTTAATGACACTGATTTGTTGAAGAGACCAGACCAGTAATACTATAAAATGCCCCTCTTTCTGGATGTGTATGGCTACTTTCTTATGTTTAGCTTGTTCTTTTGACTTCTGTTACTTTCTATAAACTGTAAGTTGGAGCTTGAGCTTTAACTTGACAGAGTCGAAGTAAACATTGTCAGTTTGAATGTGTCATGTGCTATTATTTCATATTGCAGTGTATCAGGAGACCCAAAATATCTAGTTCTTCCACCACTAGTGGTTTTGTTATTGATTAAAGAATTAACGTGATGCTAGATAAACCCCACCATTCTGTAGTAAATATACTTTTCTTGTGACCAGAAAGATTGGTGTTAATTCCTGATTTTTTCTTCTTTTTTAGGATCTGGTTATGGATATCCTAAGAGTATTGAGCACACCAGACTTAGAAGTACGAAAGAAAACTCTGCAGTTAGCACTGGATCTTGTCTCTTCTAGGAATGTTGAAGAGGTAAAACAAAACTCTGACAGCACTTTGTAGCTATCAGGCCCAAATGTGATATAACTCTCACTTATTTTTACTTCGTTCTATAGCTGGTTATTGTCCTGAAGAAGGAAGTTATAAAAACTAATAATGTGTCTGAGCATGAAGATACTGACAAATACAGACAACTCCTAGTGCGAACATTGCATTCCTGTTCTGTCCGATTTCCAGATATGGCTGCAAATGTTATTCCTGTGGTATGTAATTCTGATCACTTTAATTTTGAAATTCTCTAATAGATTTTTTTTAAAAAGCTAGTTATTTGACAGTCAAACTCCAGAAATCTCAACTGCCTGGGACCATTAAATCTCATGGTGAGAAGTGATCTTTATGTCTACCTCTACCTTTAAGCTCAGAAGGGTGAGGACTGTGACTTCTTTCACTTACATATTCATCTAAAAAACAAAAACAGTGACCAAAAAAATAGCTTTGCATATTATTTTAATTGATGATATAGTTACCTAAAGTAAAATTATGCTGTGTATATGTATTATTCAGTAAGGCAAATAGGTACTTATTTTAAATAGCTTTAGCTCTTAAAGGAATCAGTTATAGGAAAAATTAACATACCCAGAATATTTTGCTGTCACTATCAGATAAGTGAGATATGTTATTATAATTTGATTTTTGCCTCTGAGCTCTTGAGTTCTTTCTAAAATGATTTTACTTTTAGTTACAATTTAGGAGGATCAAATTCATTTATTTTGAGTTTTGGATCTCTGGCTTATCTTTTATCATAAAACAGTAAAGCCATTGTGACTTTCTTTACGTAATAGCACTTGTCTCTCAATTTACATTTTGTTGTGTATTTGAAAATTATTAAGAATTACAAGGGTCAGGCTTGGCGGTTCATATCTATAATTTGAGCACTTTGGGAGCGCTAGGCAAGAGGATTACTTGAGGCCAGGAGTTCGAGACCAGCCGATGCAATATAGGCAGACCCTGTCTCTACAAAAAAATTAATATTAGCTAGGCATAGTGTCATGCCTGAAGTGCTAGCTCCTGGGGAGGCTGAGGTTGCTGGAGGATCACTTGAGCCCAGGAGTTCAAGGCTGCAGTGAGCTATGATTGTGCCACTATACTCTAGCCCGGGCAGCAGAGCAAGACCCTGTCTCTTAGAAAACAACAAGAAAATTACATTCTTTATAAATTTATTGATTTATTTATTGTCCTAGATAATTTTCTTTTGGAAAATTGCTAGCTCTATTTTCCCTTTTTTTTTTTTTTTCTTTTAGTTAATGGAATTTCTCAGTGACAATAATGAAGCAGCAGCTGCTGATGTCTTGGAGTTTGTTCGTGAAGCCATTCAGCGCTTTGATAACCTGAGAATGCTTATTGTTGAGAAGATGCTTGAAGTCTTTCATGCTATTAAATCTGTCAAGTATGTTTAAAATACATTTAAATGTGAGGTTAAGTAAGCATTGTATCGGTTTTTATCTTTAAAGGGTCGGTTGATAGAAAATAGAATGGAGAGGACAATCAAGCCAAAATAAGACAAGTGTAACAACAAGAATCATGCTTCCTCTACTCTCAGTTAATCCACAATATATGGCCAAAAATAATTTTTTTTAGGAGTGATTTAGCTCAGTGTCTCTGTTCTGATTTTCTCTAAAACATTTTGAATCTTAAAGTAACTAAAGAGCATATTTCTAAATGTCATCACTTTTTGGCTATTACTATTATTTGTATCTTCCTTTCACATTTAATGAAGGGAAAGATTGAAAATGCAACCTAAATCTGTCTTTTCCTTCAGAGAGCCTTTGCTAATGACAAAAGACTGTTGCATCTAACTTTTACTTCATTTAAAGCATTTGATAGATAGTCTATAACAGACTTGAAGTATGTCTAAGATAGGAAAGAAGGGACAAGTACAAAATTGTTTTTATGATATGAAAATATATTAATATTTATGGAAGTGAACAGAACAGAATTTACTTCTTTTGTGAAAAAAAGAATCATGTTAAGGATTTGCTTTTTTTTCTTTTGTGGGAGGGCTTTCCAGCAAAAACTGGAAAGCCTGCTAAACAAATTTTAAAAGAGCTATAACACTAAGGATTTGTTTTTAACAGCCATAATCTCTTAGAGCTTTGGTTTCTATAATTAATTTTTTCTGAATAAATTTAATTAAAATCTTAGGGGAAAGATGACTAAGGACTTTATTCAGTTTAACATTGTAAACTAAAGAATTGTTGGCTGGGTATGGTGGCTCACACCTATATTCCCAGCACTTTGGGAGGCCAAGGTGGGAGGATTGCTGGATGTCAAGAGTTGGAGACCAGCCTGGGCAACATGGTGAGACTTTGTCTCTATTTATTTTTTTAATCTAAATGAATGAATGAATGGTTGCTTTCTTTACTATTTTTTTTTTTTACTGATCCCTTGTACTTCTTTTGTTTCCATTGTTTAGTTCAACACCTTGCCTCTCTTTTCAGTGACTGAAAATAAAAAGTGAATTACTTTGTACATTAGAACAATACATTCCTGGTTTTCTTTTTTTATTTTATTTTATTCTTTTTTTTTTTTTTAAGAGAGATGAGGGCCTTGCTATGTTGCCCAGGCTGGTCTTGAACTCCTGGACTCAAGTAATCCTCCTGCCTCATCCTCCACAGATGTTGGGATTACAGGTGTGAGCCACCATGCCTGGCCATAAAATAATACATTTCTTATAATAGTAAGTGATAAAGCCAAATTTACCTTCACTGTGTCCTAAGTGGACACTTTTCTGTGAAACATTGGTATTTTATTTTTACTGCTAGTTTTACCAGTTTTAGAATGTTCCTAATAATTAATAAGAACAGTTATTTTACTTTTAATCTTTGTGATTTCTGGAGAGAACTGAAATCTAGGTTTTGTTAGATTCTTTCTGAAATGTTTATCTAAAATACTTTAGAACTGCAGAATCTTGTTGGTTTTTGTTTTTTGTTTTTTGTTTTTTCGTTATTGAGACAGAAACTTGCTCTGTCACCCAGGCTAGAGTGCAGTGGCATGATCTCAGCTCATTGCAACCTCCGCCTCCCGGATTCAGGCAGCTCTTTTTTTTTTTTTTTTTTTTTTTTT